CAGGAGAAATCCAGTGGTCGCACCGCCCATTACAAGCTGACCTCCACGGTGATGCTGTGGCTGCAAACCAACAAATCCGGCTCTGGCACCATGAACCTCGGAGGCAGCCTCACCAGACAGGTAGGCTTGCCAGTGCCCGCAGGGGGCCAGCCTCAGAGCTGCCCGTATGTGGCGATGAGTGAGCAGTTGTCCCCACAGAGGGGTCCTGGGGCAGCCTGTGTGCCTGACACAATCTCCCCACAGGCCTATCAGTGATTCCCAAGGTTCAGTCATGGGAGGTTTTCTCTTTGGGTCAGGGTGTTTACGTTAAGATGCTCCTGTGACATTTAGGACATTAATTTCTCAGTTGTGACTTAGATCATGTATTAGGACTCTTGGTTGCTAGTGACAGAAGTAAAACTGACTTAAGCAGAAATGGAAACGAGTCAGCTCTCATAACTCAGAAGCTCAGGCTTCCTTCAGCATGGCTGGGCCTGGGATGCACATAATGCCGCTGGGACTCTCACCGCACAGCCGCTCCCGGCGGTCCTGGGGGACAGAGCTTCCCTTTCAGAATAGGCTTACCGTGCCCCAGAAATGTCTCACTGGTCCGGCTTGGGTTGCTGGTCCATCACAGAATCATTTCCTGAGGTTAGCGGCTAGGAAACAGTCTGGCCAGACATGGCTTGTGTGAGCGCCCATGGCAGTGGAGATGGAAAGGGGGTGTTGATCTCCTCGAGTGAAGTCTGGCTGCTTTTCCCAGGAGGGGGAGGGATGGCTGTGGGAAGGGAGCAAACCTTAGATACTGGTGGGTAGGTGCCCTCTGCAGAGACAGCTGATGGACGTTACCGTGTAGGTGGGGCAGGCAGAGCCATGGCAACAGGCTGCCGAGGGACAGGAGCCAGGGTCCCCAAAAAGGCGAGCAAAGGCTGAAATAAAAGCTAAAAGGATCCAGAAGAGGGAGTCCCTGCTGTAAGCATCTACGTGGGTTTCCTGGCCTCCTCACGCACGTGCCTGGCAGTGACCGGCAAGCAACATGGGCTGTGACCAGCCTGCTCTCTGCTCAGCTCTGGCCCCCACACAGCAGCTCTCCAACAATAGCACTGAATGACTCCAGTGTAGACCCAAGCAAGGTACTTTTCAAAGCTCGGAACCCTCATTCACCTTCTAAAGAGAAAATGAGTACATTTGGCCAAAAAAGTCAAAAGGCTCCTGGAGTCACAGGATCTTGACATTGGAAGAATTCAGAGGTCACTCCCAACCTGACCAGGGGGCTCACTGCGTTGAGAGGCAACCCGTTGCTTTTACATCAGCCTCCATAAAAAATGACATGCAGAATAGAATCTGTCCTCCAGACTGGCCGGGGTTGCTTTGGCTGGCACCTCACACACAGGCGGTTGACCGAGTGGCCACCACCCTGGCACTCTCACTTCATCTCTTCCTCATGAACCACGGAGGGTCCAGGGATTTCCCATTCTGTTCTCGTGCAGTACATCTTTTTTCCTTTTTTTTTTTTTTTAATGAGATTTTACGTTTGTCCTCACATTTTGTTCTTTATCCACTCTGCCCGTCAGTTATGTTGAATCTGGGTTTAAGTCATCCAGGTGTTAGCTGTTCCTTTTGGCTCTGTTACTTGCACATTAACTAAGATGATGTTGTGTCTTATATTGATTAGCTCAAGGCCAAGTCAGAGCCTTCCAGCATGGCCACCAGAGACTTCCTTAAAGGGAGGCATCGGCCTGATAATCACCTTTCTTAGAGTACTTTCTTTAGGGTGAGCTTGTTTAGCCAGCTATAAATCCACCATCTAGGTAGGGCTTTACATTTTCAAATAAATGCCCTTTGAGCTGTCTGGTTGCACACCACCTGCCGCATCCCAACTGGCTTCCTGGTTAGGTAGGACCAGGTGACTTCAGGCTTGGCCATGGTTTCTTTTTTTCTTTTTTTTTTTTAAAGATTTTATTGGGCAGTTGGGGGAGAGAACAGCGTTGGGGAATCAGGGAAGGGGAACAGACAAGTTGTTGTCCTTTTGTTCTTCAGTCTAGTTGTGGAGGACGTCGCTTTACTGGCCCATGTTGATATTGTCATTGCACTCTTCCCGGGTGAGGCAGATTGGTTGCCGGCCACCGGATCGCTGCTCACGGTGGCTCTTGGCAGCTCACGCCAGCTGCCGGCCACTCATAGTAGCTTATGGCAGCCCACTGCAGCTTCACTGCAACCTATGCCATCGCTGGCGACTCACAGCAGCCCAGCTCCAGGTCGAGCTGTTGTTCACCATCTTAGCTGTAGAGGGCACAGTGTCACTGGCCCTCATGTGGGATCCGAACCAGGGCCCTGCTGCTCAGAGCTGGAGTCCCAAGCCAACTCCTAACCAGAGCACCACTTGGCCGGCCCCCAAATATGTATTTTTTATAAATCATAATATCACAGCTACTGTGTACCATTCTCTTGCCTGTCTTTTGTTTAGGTATCACTAGCACCCCATCTCCAAGATGTCCCTCCAGGCGTAGGTGTGTCTAAGCTGAACTGGGAGCTTGGACTGGAAGGTGCTGCCTCCCGGAGCAGATTTATCTTAACTTGTACTTCAGATGCCGCCTTTGGCATCTCAGCAGCTTTAAGACCCTTCGTTCAGGGCCCATGGTTAGGTTAGGACTCTTGCCACTCCAGGGCCAGGTCTTGTGCCAGTGCAGTGCGGGTGCTTGAAGTATATGCCAGAAAGGATAAATTGAGTAACTCTTCACTGGATTTGCATTCTAGTCACAAAAGCATCTTCATGCATTTGGAAATCGTAGCACAGGGCGATTGTTGTTGGCCCATATGCTTAGGGTGTGTATCTGAGCCTCCATGCAAACTTCCACTGCCTCTGCTGTGTCACAGGAGCCTGAAACCACAAGGGATTTGGGGGGTCCCCTGCTCTGGCCTCGGCAAGGCTGTCCCCACGCCACCCCAGAACCAAGGCTTGTGCTCCCTGGGGCAGAGCCCATCGTTTTGCATGGAAATGGGCCCTGGTCTTCCAGGAACTGTTGACCGGCGAGGGGCAGCCGAACCAGCAGGCGGCCAGCTCCACCACCGCCTGCCGCCCCCACACCCTGCCACCTGGGCAGTGGTGGAAAGTCCTAAATTTGTATCCGGAGACTGTTTCCTGCATCACTTACCGCTCTGAACTGTTTATAATTCCACCCGGTTTACAGTGACCTGGACAAATATTTAATCCTCAGCCTTCCTAATAGTTTAAATCAGAGCTGTCAACCCATGGCCAGGGTCTGGTTCCGGCCTGCCGTGAGCAGCACCTCCTGCCAAGCCAAACACAGGCCTGATGAGAGGCTGTCCTCAGCACACCGGGCTGGGGCCACGGGCCTTGTTCGGATTGCCTCGTGCTCTTGGGCTTTAATGAGGAAATCCATGCTTCTGTCATCATCCTAACGGCCGGTCACATAACTCATCTGAGGTGCATTAGAGCTGGGGCAGGTTTCCAATGTAAGTAACTGCAAAGGGAGGGGCAGGGAAGCGATGAGGGAGACAAGCCTAAGTTAACGATGCGCAGCCTCTGAGCAGACGGGAAACGAGGGCTGCGGGTTTAGCTGTGTGTCCCAGATGAGCCTGGGAGGAGAGACGCCTGGTCGCCTCGGGTGGGAGACGAAGGGGATCCGGGAAAGCTGAGCAGATCAGCGATCAAGAGTGACCCTGCGCGAGTTCTGGGCAAGATGGCGGAGTCGCTATGCAATGTGTTGTGTCGTTTAAAAAAAAAAAGTGAACGTGCGTGGTTGTGCAGCTGTCTCCTTTGATTAGACTGTAAGCAAGATAGTTATTCCCACTTAAAAGGTGAGGAAACAGAGGTTCACGCTATTAAGTAATTTGCTCGTGGTGATTTATCTAGCAGGAGGCAGAGCCAAGATTTGAACACAGATTTGTCTGCCTAGCAAAAAAAACAGGCTGCTTCCTATCACACTACATTTTTTTGGTCTTAATCTGTCCCCTGTGCCTGGCATTCAGTAGATGCTAAGTAAACATTTGCACAGAAATGCACTGAGCAGTCGCTCCGTGTAGATGGCACATGACCCTCTGGGCACCCGGCGATGTTCTGTTGGCAGCCCCTCCCGCAGCCAGCTTGGGCAGCTGTAGTGGACCAGTGGCCCCTGGAACAGGCACCCTGGAACGGTGGAGTCCCATGGAGGGGTCAGGCCTCCTGGGGGTGTGCACAGCGCCACCGTCCTGTAGGACGCAAGCTGAGAACACGAGACATTCGCCACCACAGGTAGCGAGGAGGGTTTAAGGTTTCTAGGTAGTGGACTGATCTGATCAGATTTGTGTTTTCAAAAGATGGCTCTGCCGGCTGACACGAAGGGTGGGTTGGCAGAATGAGGCTGTTAGAGTCCCCTAGGAGAGAGGTGACCATGGCCTGGATAGGGGCAACCCCAAGAGGGCTGGAGGGGACAAGTATGTGGCCAAGAAGTCTGTGAAGGAGCTGAGGTCAGCCTCACAGTAAGAAATAACCAAGAAGGACAAAGACACGAGGAGCAGAGAAGCAGGCACAGGGCAAGAGACATGCTGGAGTGGCACGGTCGAGGCCTGGGGTGCTCCCAGGATTGGGGTGAGCGATGGGGCGAGACGAGAGCCTTCCTCACTCCATTCAGCCCCACTTGCAGTGACGCAGGCCTCGGCTTTTCCTCCGGACACGAGGCCTCATTGCCTTTCCCCTGCCCCACGTGTCTCACCAGGCCCACGGTGCCAGGTGCCTGCCCTGCAAGCGGGCAGGACCGAGGGCTCCCAGTTCTCCCAGCTTCACGTCCAGCACACAGAGTCCGGACAGCCCGTTGAGTTACACATCCCACCATCGCCCCCGAGACGGAGGGGCCGCCGCGCAGCAGCACAGGGCATCCGTTGGGGCCTCAGCAGCGGCCTGCATCGCCCGTCTCTAGGCATGGCCCCCAGGCGCTCCCTCACTTCCTGTCCCCCACACCCCATCTTGAGAAGGGCCAGGTGTAGGCTTGGTGGAGGCTCCCCTCAGGGATTCCAGGCCTTGCCCCCAGGTCCCTCCTTTCTCAGCTTAGATGGCTTATGGGCGTGCAAGTGAATGAAATGGGACTCTCACCAGCTTTCTTTAAATTGTTGGTACATTTAACGATGACTTACTGCTTGAG